GGTCGATGAATAAACCGGTAATAATACACCAATCGGCTTGTGGATGTACCACTCCACCATATCCTTAACTCATAAAGAACACCTCAGGATACATCAGCTCCTTCATTTAGGGCAGCAACTAGCTTTGAACCAGAAAGGGACTACTCGTTGCTTTGTGTCAGAGCTCCTTGGAGGACCTGGAGGTGCTACCATCCAAAAAAAAAAACAACTATGGTAAATCCCAGTTCCCTTAATAGGCTTCTTTCATAATGAGGTCAGCAAATATTCCCAGGGTTACAGAGGATCCTTATGTTCGGTTTAGTGCTGCACTGGGGCGCAGGGATATAACGGCAAAGCTGCAGTCAAGTATCTCTGTGAAGATGTATAGAAGTTAAAGGCTGAAGCCAATCCCAGCAGACACTAGGCGAAAGGCCGGGTACACCCTGGACAGGTCACCAGTCTATCACAGGGCTGACACACACAGAGAGACAACACTCAGACACTCACATTCATACCAAAGGGAAACATACAGTCAATATACAGTCAAGTCACTAATTAACCTGACCTGCATGTCTTTGGGAGGAAGCCAAAGTACCCCCCACAAGCACGGGGAGAACATACTCTACAGAGAAAGGCCTAAAGAAAGCACTAGATGAACTACAGCATAACGTACAGCGCTGCTACTCCTAGAATTACAAAAAACTAATCACCACCATATTCTATTACTTGAAGATAATGATAACACACTAGTGTAAAGTGCATTGGAAAGAAACTGTACTGTGTCCTTAAAGCACTCAGTTAATATATAGGCTAATATAAGCAAATTAAAATGTAATGGAAAGTTCATAAATCTGTACTTGAATCAAACCCAGCTAATTATCTTCATCCAAGTTCAATAACAGTAATGATATACCAGAGGGGAAATTACATCCATTACTTATAGCCAAACTGATTTCACAATGGATGAAACTGACACAGCAGCGCTGTGTGCGAACATGTTTAACATCTTTAAATCCAAGTCACAGAAATGTTTTTAGAAACACAACAGGAAAAAAGAAAAGGAGAGAAACAGAATCTACCTACAACAAATTTGAAAGTTTTTATTGGATTGATATTTCATCTTTGATGTATCTTACAGACTCTACCAATTCCCAAACTAATATGGTAAATGTCTGAGGGGTATCTGAAAGCCAAACATGACAGATGTTTAACTGTCTTACTCATTAGACCTGTGCAGTGTAGAAACAAACAAGCAGTGCACTGAAAAAGCGTGGGCCAGGACTTACTGTATGGTGTAGCTAAGCTTTCTACTGGGATTTAAATAACAAAGAAGCTGATGATGCAGGCGGATGTCTGTGAAGGAGCAGGAAGTATAAGCTTGGCTGCAAACAAAAGAACTGTTTAACTACACAGCCTAGAATCGGCTATAATCAACATGTTCATATTAACAAAGGATCCCACACTGTAGCTACTGTTTGTGAAAGAGGTGGCTTGATGAACTCACAACAAATTATCACCAGATCTGGCAGGTCCTCTTCAGCCCTACCCAGATTCTGTTGGTCTCTTTCAACTCCCTGATTTGGCTTTTACAATTTTGTTGTTTTGAGCCACTCTCACCAATATGATTTTGGGACACACCAGGCAGCTGTTTTCAGCAATAGAGAAAAAGCTCTGTGCACTATAACTGCTTAGCCACAGCAAAAGCTGACAAAGAGAGAGGCTTGTTGGTACACATCAGTTGAGCATTTAGCAGCTACGGAATCAGATATTTCCTTCAGGATTTCAGGGACGAGAAAAACAAAGCTGAGGGGAGCATGATTACTGGACTTTATTATATTCACCAAGTGGCCAGACACACAACTCCAAATGACGGTTGTTGCTGTTCAGTATGTGCTGAATGTGTAAATGCACAAGAGTTCACTAATAAAAGATGATAATAAATGTACATTCAGCTTGTTCAGCTTCACACAAAGAGCAAACAAACAAACAGCTAGCTTCAGAGTGGAATGAGAAATGTTTCTGACAATGTAACATGCAATTCACAGTCTACATTAACAGAGAACCTCACACATACTGGATATTTCCAAAGGTTCATTTTCGAGAGACACACAGAGGGATTTACCTTTTGGAATGAAATCGCAACCTTTACTGAGTGTGCAGGATATTGGCAGGAGTTAATAAACCATAAACCCTAACGATCCGAGGTCGGACTTCCTTTCAAATTCAGCTGAACTGATTTATTGACACTGGGCAAGACAAATAATGAATATTTGAATACAAGTCAAAATATGACACTCAACCAGTCCCTACAACAAGTCTATTTACCACGAACGAGACTGATGTGGATTTCATGTTGGGATAATGCATCACAATTGGGATGACAATAGTGATGACATTTCTATAAATATCCACAAGGCACTGTAAGTCATTCAGCTTTTTTCTTGCTTACACATTTTCTATAAAACCACCAGGAAAAATAAAATCACACCATACAAGTGTGGAGTGAAATCTCAATCACATCTCTGCTGCAGTCATAGCAGAGACAGAGACAAATGGAGCCAGTTTTCACTCCAGCAGTTCAACTTCTGTCATACTCTTGTAACCTAAGACAAAGACACGGGAACTCCTCTCATCCCCTTGTACCAAAACAACCCTGGAGAACCTAATAACAGCATGCCTCAAAAATGACAACAATGCCATTTCCTCACCAGCCCTCCCTTTTTTATGCCTCATTGTCTCCTTCACTCCCTTTCCCCCCGCCTTGTTTTCTCCTGATAACCCTTGTCTCTCTTCATGCTGTCTCACCCCTATCTCAATCTCCCACTGTCACACACTCCATCATTCTAGCCTGCGTTATTCGCTGCCTACCCTCCTCCCTGTATTAAGTGAAGCGCTTGGAGACAAGACGTTGGCTGCTCTATACAATGGCCCCTGTATTCACAGTGCTGTTTACCTGTCTGCTGACAGCCCTCCCCATATTTAGTGAAAAAGCCCTCTACACAAGGAGAACAGAGACATCCCATTTACAGAGGCCCCTTTGTTCCTCTATACATTGTGCATACCTGTATATCAGTGTGTAGCCTTTGCTACCATGGAATGCAAATTAGATGCGTCAATAAACTGAAGGAATATATAAAATAAAGAGCAGAGATTTTCTGAGATGCATGAATGTGTTTTACACCTGCTTTGTAAAAGGAGATTTAGACTATTTGTCTGAAAAAATACACAGTGTAGTAAGACTACCAGTTCTGACTGTCAGTGTGAAGGGCGCTCGGGGGTATTCACATTCATACTGGGTGTGCAAAAACACCCTTAGAGGGTATGGATAAAATGTATACACAGTTCATTGAATGTGGGTGTAAACACTCAAAGCTGAAAGTCAGCACTTTAACCCCAGTCACCGCTCTGGAGTACAGAGCCAAAACAAAACCAGCCCAACTCTTGCAGACTGAACTGCACTTACATGAAAAAGATAAGCCAACACACGCACATATATAAAAAAACTATTTTCAATTACTTGTGTGTATTATATTAGTTTTGCAGGTATGGGAATATTTCTGCATATGTAAGGGGAAAATGCTGCTATTTTCCCTGTAGTACTGTATGTGTAGGCACGTGTGAAGCCATTTGTGTGTATTGAAAGAGCAGACATAGATGGGAAAGCCCACGCAACGGGGTTCAGGGGAAACTGGCTGCAATTCATCTCTGGTTCTCTTTAATTACATGATATTGAAACACAGGGGCTAGCTACTTACCAACCTAATACTGAGGGAGGAGATATCAACTGCACCGTTTATCATGCAGAGCATGACGAAGTGGGGCAACTAAAAATCTGGTCGCTCTTCATGATTCTCACTCTCAGAACAGACGCACTGCCCAGATCATTGAGTACTTCTGTTTAGATGTCAGTAAGGTATTTTGGGATAGAAACAGTTACAAAATTCAGAGGATAGTGATATGATAGTTCTAATTACCTTGAGGGGGTCCATCTGGGTGCTTGATATATAAAACGCAGCTACACTGTTTTATTTCAACACTAATGAAGGCTGGAAACATTTTGTCTTTTGTAATTAGTGATTTTTTTTTTTTTTTGTCACTGAGTGTGATCCTCCTCTGTAATCGTTAGTTAATACAAAAAGGATATCACACCGATTCCTCTGAGTATGGTGGAAACTCTACATGTAATGAACTTCTGCTTGAATGTTTAAATATTCATATTATGTATATATGTGCGCCTTTATCAACCTCCTGCATTTTTATCAAACAATAACACTGATATGTTGCAGTTGTTCCAAAATGAACATGCACATCATTTAGCATCACTACCGACACAAACGTCTCACTAATAAGGAGAAATACAATTCAGGCAAGAGAAAGGAAGACAAAGACACAGAGATTTCTCTTCTCTGCTTCACCAGTGCCACCTGGGGCGACAATCAACAAGCACTTCGCCGCCTATTAGACACTGTTCTCGCTGCAATCAGTACCCACTAAGGCATATGTACAAGTTTGACATTGCACATTAGTTGCTGGTGGTTTGTGTGTGCACGTTTCTGTGTGCTTCTGTTGTGCCGAGTCTTTTTCTGTCACAGACCTACTTCACACTTTCACCCCCACAACATAAGGAGTCAAGATAAAGCACTTAGAGATTCACTGGGGAAGCTCAAGGGGAAAACATCTAGCTGAGGCTGAACAGAAAGTTGTGTGATGTGTCAGTGGAAAATATTTTTCTTGTGGAGGGCTGCAAGGTGCCAGTAAAAATCACAAGGCCAGAGTGGAGCAGGAAGGTTTTATGCAAATATTTATGCACATCCCTTGCTCTTGTCCCCTATACAGTATAAATAATTGTGACTTTAACCATGTAATAAGGTGAAAAACAGAGGGAGTAGGGAGTCGGGGAGCTGAAGAAGTGAATATGTAAAAAGTAAAGAACAATAAAACAGGGAAAAAGAAAAATGCCTAAAGAGAAGGGCAAAATGAAAAGCAAAGAGGAGAGCCACAAGACAGAGACTTGACATTACCTTCAGTGGGGTTGATAGCTCTTGGTAAGCTATCCCAAGGGAGTGTCCAGGCAGGGCAAGGATGAGGAGTGAAGGCTGCCTTGATGCCATTTTCCTAGGGGAGATACACACAAGCACACACAAATACACAGGTTACCATAGAAACCCTTCTACAGCCTTGACGTTCTGTAGTCCAAATGGTTGTAATGAAGCGATTTAAAGAGAACTGCTCTTGAACAAGCCCTTTGTTACCTTGCTCGCACTGATCTGAAGCTATACTTGAGGAAAAACCACAGCTCTTGCACTTATTACTCTCTCAAGAGAGATCAGATGTTTAACGAGTACAGTACATACTCCTGCTCATCCAATACACTTTAGAGAAATGTAGGAGAAGCGCAGAATATTGAGTCAGACAAACTAAAACACTTTTTTTCTCCTTTCATGCCTTGATGATAAGAGGGTTAGAAAAATCAGTATGTACTTTGGCACAGTCTATAAAAGCAGAGAAATGGTGTAGACGTGATTGTTGAAAACAAATTAATGAGAAAAATCTCTTAGGAATACATCTTTTTCGACAGCTGCGCGTTTGGTTTCACAGTAATGGAAGCTTAGTACAGTGTGTGGATGGTTTTTGTCTGCTTTTTGCTTCACAATAATGGCCTTCCTAATTAATACTAATGGCTCCTAAAGGGGTGTGTGGCACAGAGCAAATATCATTCACATTATCTATATTTCCTGAGGTATAGTGGTTATGTAACAATGACTTGTTGTGTGGTTGAAATTACACTAATGTGTTGCTTTACTTAAGACTTTCTATTTACTAGAAATGATGGGGCATTTTTCCAGTACTGTATATTTGGTTATCACTACAACTCTATTATTACTGATTTCATGATTACTAAATTAAACAAAAAACAAGCATATACACCAGTGACCACAGAATTAACTGTGCAACCCTATAGCTTCACATGGTAGTAGTCTACGCAACAATCAGCCATAACATTATGGCCATCTACCTAATATAGCAAATGTCCCCCTTTGCTGCCAAAACAGCCCTGACCCCTTGAGGCATGGTCTCCACAGACCTCTGAAGGTGTCCTCTACTATATCTGGCAGCAAAATGTCAGCAGCAGATCTTTTAAGTCCTTTAAGTTGCGAGGTGTGGCTTTCATGGATTGGATTTGTTTATACAGCACATCCCACTGACGCTAGATTGGACTGAGATCTGGGGAATCTGGAGGCGAAGTCAACACCCTGAACTGGTTGTTGTTGTTCTCCTCAAACTATTCCTGAACCTTTTTTCCTTTAAGTTAAGTTTTTGGGCATTTTTGCCTTTATTTATGGGTTAAGTGGGTCATGGAAAGGTGGACAGAAAAGAGAGAAAACAGAGGAGGGGACCACCACACACTTTGCTTGTGTGTATGACGCGCTGCAGCATAACCATTCGACTATGGGGGTGCCCCGATTCCTGAACCATTTTTGCAGTGTCGCAGGGAGCATGTCCTCCTGAAAGAGACCACTGCCATCCGAGAACACTGCTGCCAGGAAGGGATGTACAGTACTTGGTCTGCAATAATGTTTAGGTTAAGTGGAACATGTCAAATTAAGATCCACGTGAATGGCAGGAACCAAGGTTTCCCAGCAGAACATTGTCCAAAGCACTGCCTCACCCGGCTTCGCTCACCAGGCACCTCAATGAGCTATGGGCATCCATGACCCTGTTTCCAGTCCACGGTTTGTCCTTCCTTAGACTACTGTTGGTAGGTACTAACCACTACAAATCAGGAACAGCCAACACAGCACAGCAGTTTGGGAGATGCTTTGACGCCATCGTCAGCCATCACAGTTTGGCCCTTGTCAAAGTCACTCTGATCCTCATGCTTGCAAGGTTAAGGTATAGGCAAGATTTCTTAATAGCAATCAATTGTCATGAACTAATGTCCGGATGGTCTAAGAGTAACTATGCATGTAACCTGCATATACAGTAGGTACTCATTTCCAGAGGAAGATACACCAACATTTAGTGATACCAGTTTCTGGAACACAGGTTTTCCCGTCCAAAAGAAAATATATGACTTTCTTAAACTTTCCTCTTAAATGATCCCATTGATTTAGTAATCTCCATTTCAGGATTACCCCTATTTTTACTGTCATCTTAGATTAAGTTGCTGTCTAATGTTAGCAACCGCATTAAATGACCTGTCATTGGATTAGTGAGTAATAGCAGACAAATTTCAATCTTACATTTTGGTAGACATTTGAATCACAGGTTGTGTGTCTCCAGCCCATTGCACAAGCAGTTTGACTTCCATGCGCCAGTGTGTGTTAAGTGAAACGAGACAAAGGCAGAGTTTATGAGCCATTTATATTGTGCACAGTGTAGTGAGATGAGCCCGGTGCCTCTGATTAGCAGCAGTGAAGAACTGCGTGTCGCCGTGTCAAATGACAGACCTCTCAGTCTCTCTGTAGTTGCCTTGGGACATACACAGTCATATATGAGGACCTATGTACACACACACACACACACAGGCAAATACAGGCACCTTGGGCAAAGCATCTAAACAGCTGCACTGCAGACACGATGATGGCGACACACAGCCAACCTTGTAATCCCCTTAGGGAAGAATGGTGGCCATTGTGTGTGTGTGTGTGTGTGTGTGTGTGTGTGTGTGCATTCCTCTCAGTTTTAATATCTGAGTTCAACCTGCCATGAAAACTGTCATTTGTGTACATCTGTGCCAGACTAAATTTCATCCGGCAACACTGCCCGCTTTAAGACACATCCCATCCTGACCACACAGCTCCCTGAGCCTCATCCAAACTCTCCAAACCCTGCTCTACTGTTTTCTCGCTTTCCTCATTTCCCGTCACTTAATATCGTGTTGTTATAGACTCTCAGCCAGCAGGAAATCACAGAAATATCTCTGCTGAGAGAGGACAGTAACAAAGCCAGGAGAACACTGGATGCTCAGTAGTGAGAGGCTAGACAGGGCGGAG